TATCTGTACTGGTTAACAGAGAGCTGAATTCACCTAAGTTAGACTTTTATATTTATGGACTTTGTTTTGGAGAATATAATATCCAAAGCGAAGACTGTAATTACTGGTGATAATAAAAGGTACCATAGATACTGATTTATTATTTGCTAAAGTGCCATGTGAAGCTCTTTATGTGTTCAAACCATTTAATACTCAATAACCCCTTGGGGTTAACTAACCTAACTAACCTAACTAACTAACCTAGATTAAGTAACCTAGTTAGGTTAGTTAGGAAAACAGTATTATTTTCCTCTTCTAACTGATGAAGTCACAGATAGTTTAAGTAGTTTACCCAAAGTCACACAGCTTGTAAGTGGTGGAACTGAGTTCAATCTGGGTAATTTGACTCCTTGACAGTCTGACTCCAAATTTAGGATATTGGGAGGGACCTCAGAGAACTTCTTGGGAGGTAAATATATCTCACTTGTGACACTACTCCTATGCTCCCTACCTGACAGACATTGCTAATTGTTGGCTTAGCCTTTTTATACTGAGTCTATACCTAACTTGGAATCATTCTTGGATTTTGCCCTAGGTGGTGACTACTTGTTGAATGATTTGCACTAATGGTGAAACCTATTTATCCACCATGTAGGTCTAATCTGTTCTTTTTATAGAATGATGTATGCTAAGTGTTGAAGCAGAAAATAGCTAGAAGATCACCGAATCTACTTTTTCCTATTCCTATATGCATAGGTAAACTACATTTCCAGTTTCCCTTCCAAATAGGAGTCACCACATAGCTCACGGTGTTCTAATAGATTGTGAGCACACTTGATGTGCACCATTTCTCATGCCTACACCTAAAGAACTACCATATAATCTCCTCCATTTTCTTTCCCATCCACTGATTTGATGCTTATGAGCACAGTGACTCCATTAGCTACCTGATGAAGTTGGCAGAGTCAAACAATGGAGGAATCTGGGTTCCTGAATAACATCTTTGAAGAAAACTACCTATCAATTTTAAACACCTGTTTGGGCTTTATGTGTGCAAGGAATAAACTTCTGTCATGTTCAGGCCATTAAAGTTTTGGGGCTACAAAAACTAGCATTACCAATACAAGGATCATGCAAGAGTGTATCACAAGCACTTTGCAGAACCAGAATTTGAATCTAGGTTTTTTAAGTCCAAATTCTTCCCACTATGCCAATTTTACCAATAATTTAAGAAATTATCCATCTTAAATCTTAATGTGATAAATATCTTATTTTAACTTAAATTGTCTAAAATTCTAACCTCACCAAGATTTGAGTTCATTGACAACAAAGATTCTCCCATCTCTAAAAAAATCTCATGTATTTCCCTACTGATGCCTTCAGGACCAGATCTCTCCACCCCAACTTTCTGACCTACAATTCCTGTCTAGGTATGAAGCACAAAAGGTGAAATCAAGTCAGGTTTTCTCAAGTTTATACTGGGGAACCATTTCTGGTGGTGAGTTTAGTGTCCAAATAATATATGCCATGCATGAGTACCTTTGGGAAATTCTATATTGTAAGAAGTGAAAAGGTATCTTTTCTGCAGGAATATCCTTTAATAGGATAATATGTCCTGAGACTCTCCAAAATAGAGGTAAAGTATGTAGCATTTTGCAACCTTGTCTGATGACAGAGCACCTTTCCAAAGAGCATCTCAAAGAACATATTTTCATGGAACATATTTTGGGAAACACAAACGTAAGTATATTAGGTCTTATCCACAACTATTGGAACTTGAATTTGGGTCTAGTATCTCTTGGAATTTAGTCCCTCTGTCAAAGGAAACAGTGGTTCTGGTGGTGGCTTGCTGCACATATTATATATTCCTGACATCTGACAAATGACTATGTCTTCACCTTTGTCTGGTTTGGGCCACTTCTTTATCCTCTTCAAGACTTAACAATGGACTCTATATTGTGGTTTCAACACTGCCAACCCTCATCTATCTTCCTGCTGCCCTACCTGGACAAAACATCAATGTTCCCCTTGATAGCTGAGTATGTGTATTCTAGTATTAATTCTTGATTCAATCAAACACCCCAAATAAAGGAAGGGTGTGGGGTAGTGTTAGTGGCATAAAGAAACATCTCTTACTGGCCTAGTTAACTATCAATATCAATAAAATGCAGTGAAGTTACATTCTATGGACATTCATATTATGTGAATTCAACTAGACACACTTAGTACCCTGATCCCCAGATAGTGAGAAAAAATAGTTTAAATGCAAAGCAGTTAGATATTAAGTTAGAGAATGCCATTACTGGAAGCTTCACATAATTTAAAACTTGCATAATTGAAGATTAATTTTTCATATAACTGACAAAGGAAAGGCAGGTATTTCTTTGCTAGCTAAAGTGGCACCACCATAGGCTATAGCAAAAATATGGTTTCCAATTTACCTAGCCCTCTAGTTTTAAAATTGTGTGATTATTGATATAAAAATTTCACAAAAATTCTATTATTTCAAGTGCTGTCAATCACAGGAGAGTTTATTAATATTTGTATGTTGTACTTTCTAAAATTTGCATAATTTTACAAATTACTACTGCGCTATAGTGTGGATGCTTTCACCCACCATTCCACTCCATTCAGACAGCAGATTTAGTCTGTTAGGAGATATGACTCTGCTATTAATATTTCTTTCCATCCTGTATGACTTTTGTAGTACATATTATCACTGTCATGTAAGTGCAAACCAACTATTTAATCCAGCTTCACCCAAAGAACTAAAATCAAATGAATGTTGGAAAAATGGATGTACTGAATTTACTGAAAGTTGTTATGTCATTCTCCAAAACATCATGTAGTTTTAAGGAACTTCAAAGGTAATTTTGAATATACTTGACTCTTGTCTTTATGTGCTAATTTTAGAACTTCACCTCCCACATATGATGTGACTGTACTCGAATAACAGGCATTATTGACTGTCAACTCAGCATTTATTACTTCCTTCTTTCTTCTTAATAAAATCCTATTTTATTTAGGTAGCTACCTCTCACATGACTAAAGGGATGGCCCTAACACCAGTTCCAAGTGTAGATCTTGATTTGTCTAGTCTTATCACATTGCTCCCACCTCCTGGCCAATTTTGGACTGGTCGAGTAAACCAATTCTGGCCTGTGACAGAGTCAGTGATAGCTCCTGTTCTTCCTAAGCAGGTTGTTGGGTTTCAGTGTGACTCCAGTAACTATTGCCATCTAGCTACCAGTCCTCTGAGGATGTCAACATCAAGAGTGGAAGAGAGCAGAGAAAGATAAACCCTAAGTTCTTGAAGATATTGCTCAGTTCTTGAATCAACCAATCCTGAAGCCTTCCCTAATCTCTTCTTAGATAATACATTAGTCACCTCAGGCTACCATAACAAAATACTCTAGTCTGGGTGGCTTAAACAACAGAAATTTCTCACAGTTCTGGAGGCTGGACAGTCCAAGATCAAGGTGCTGGTGGGTTTGGTTCCTGATGAGGGCTCTCCTCCTGGCTTACAGACAGCCGCCTTCTTGTTATGTCCTCACCTGGTTTCTCCGTAACATATACAAGCCAGGATAGAGAGAGTTGCCTCTCTTGCTCTTCTTAAATGACCATCAAACCTATAGGGTTAGGACCCTTCCTTTATCATCTCATTTAATCTTAATTACCTCCTAAAAGCTCTCTCTCTAGATAAAGCTATATTAGGATTAGGTTTTCAACATATGAATTTGGAGGGCAGACAATTCAGTCCATAGCAGATAATATAACAAGTTTCCTTATGTTGTTAAACAAGTTTAAATTGTTTTTTTCTGTCAAATACAGCTGAATACACTCGGACAGATATCATGTCTTATGACATCAAAAAACAAAGAATAATGTCTAATGCATGACATATATAATAACATGAGAAGATCAAGGGCTATTTTCCTTTTCTCAGAACAAAGCAGTTGCAGAGCTAAAAATGGTTTGTCCATTGCTGTTAAGGGGCATTTCGTGAACTGCTGATTATACATATACGTGGTATCATGATTAACATAAACAGTCTAGCCCGTAGGGAGTTTTAAGTTATAAAAGAAACATTTTTCTAAGATTATGTGCTCTGATATAAAAACCATACTCCAGCCCAGTTCTATCATTATAAAGATCTGGCAAGCCAAGAGACATTAGTTGGTGATTTTATCAAGCCAGACTTCTAACTAATGGCTTGATGAAACCATCACTGCATCGTAAAACACTGTAACAAACAAACGATGATTCCTTTCAAGAGTTTAGCCATTTTAGATCATTATAATTTATTCTACTACAAGCAGTACCTCAGGGATCACCACAATCCTAAAAATAAGAATATACTTTCTCCTTTTTGCCTGAAATGAATTAGTTATGTTTTTCCTGCAATTCAAATATAGTTTTTACAACTATCTTCATCAAAAAAAGTGGAGTTTAGATTTCATCACATTCTAGTAAAGCTCTCATGAAACATTTTACCCATCATTTTAGTTACATTTGTACACAGTAATTTTACCATATTTTTCCAGATGAAATATAAATAAACAATAAAATCATAGCAAAGTGAAAGATTTTCATAACAGTAAAATGCACCTTTTATTTCTAGCAGGGGAAGTAGACTAGCAGCACTTATCGAACTTTAAAAAACCCAAACCAAACAAACGAAAACAAACTCCACCAAGAAACAAATGATGAGAGATACATTTGCATATAGATGGATCCATATTCAAGCAATAGAACTTGGGCCATTTTGAAATCTTAAACCTTCTGACACTATTTTCATGAACTCAGTAATACAAACCATGTGGTGAATGATTTTCTGAAAAACTTTGCTGGTTTCACTGTGTATTTTATTACTGGCCAAATGTGACATTAAATTTTATCCCCTGTGGCTTGGAGTTAAATGCTTGCTCTGTTCAGAATGGCAACACTCAATTAAACAGCATTTTTCATGATCTACATCCACCATTGTTACTGTATTTAAGGGAAATAATGGGGGTACTGACCTATATTGCGCTTCTTATTATCAATGGAGATGAAGCGTACGCAGGGATTACTGGTGATGTACTGCCCAGCCCAAGGGACATCAATCTTCGTGCCAGCTTCATAAAAGAGGCCCAGAGCGTAGCGAGAAGAGTAGCTCACAGCCTCCAGTTGCCGCCTTTGGCATTCACTAATTACTGTGGAAGAAAAAAATAAAAGGCACCAAACTTGAAAATATCCTTTCCTTTTAGTACATCAAATACAAAATTCCTTTAAACTGGTTCCCACTGCTTCCACCAACTCCATTTCACTTACAATTAATTTTAAAAGGTAATGTAAAATAGCATCAGTTCTATTTTTTTTTCCGGATGATTACTAATGTTGGAACAATTGTTTTTATCAAGATGAAGGTCTAGACTTTTTAGGGTGGCATTTAAGACTCTCAACATCTGGCTCCAAGTTGCTCTTATAGCTTGGTATCCTAGTTACTGTCCTTGGACTGTCTGGCAACATTATGGATTCCATCTACTGACCACTTTCGGTGAGTCGGGGTCTTCGCTAAATACTTGACACAAGCATTTCACTGTATTATAACAACAGGCTTATAAGGTAGAATACTATTACCAAGTTACAGATAGATAGACTTCTTAAATATTCCTGTGTCACATAGTGATTTGTTTGCCACCCATCTTTCTGCCAGTGGATTATAACAGTCCCATAAGCAGAGGGACCACGCCACCACTCATTACAGGCCTATCAAGGATGGAACAACAAAGGGATAGCAAGGCATACACTGACAAGCAAAAGAAGTTGAAATGTAGGAGGTAAATAACCGGAAAAGCCTGGAAAAGGAATTTGGCAGGTTTGGGTTTTCAAATCCTGACTCTTACTAGGTATGTGACACCGGTCAAGCTGCTTAATTACACTGATTATAATTCTCTTGTCTGTAAGTGGCAATAACAGTACACAATGCATTAGACTGTTGTGAGCATTACATGAAATTATGCATAGCATAGCACAGTGCTTGGCATATAATAAGACTTCATTAAATAGTAACTTTTTCTATTATAGGTAGAAAAATATTTAGGAAAATGGGAAAATGTTCCACCCTGGGGTGGGGAAGGAAGAGATTTCCCTCACTCTTTAATTTCCATCTCCAAATCCTCCTATCTTAAAGATCTCAGGGAGCTGTGATCTTTATATATGTGCAGTATTACTCATTTGGGTTTCAGAGAAAGCAATAGTTCCATTCTGGCTTAGGCAGGCTAGTTCAGAGATTAAACATGGAAAATTCTCATTAATTGGTGGAAAATATCCTAATATAAAACAGCTGGGATAAGCAGACCTTAAGATTATGGGGAAACTTTAAACCTCAGGGAAGTGGTTTTAGAGTTAGGGAGAGGCAGGAAGGGTATTCAGCGAATTATTTAAGCACAGTAATAATCTTATACATTATTACAGCTACAAAACATTTTAAGAACTATGAGCAAATTTAATCTTCACAAAAGCCTTACCAAGATAGGTGTTTTTACCATACTCATTTTACATTCCCAAGAAGGTGAAATTAAGATAAGTAACCTGCCCTAGGTTTCACAGTTTCCAGGCTGTGTGGCCAAGATGAAGCTGGAGTTCCCACGATGGAGTAACACACATACCCTCATCACCCCATGCTTTCCTCTGCTCATCTGTAAGTGTTGAGTTTCAAAATGAACTTTGACATTAATGGTTATTTTGTACTCATAAGTAAAAGCCCTCTTTCCCTTTAATCATCATTTTCTGCCCTATTAAAAGCCTTAACTACTTGATGAACAAATGGTCTGGCATTGGCCTTGTTATACCCAATGAATTTGGGGCTTCCTTTTATTATTTAATTCACTTAAAAAGTCATAGCTTGATGTTATGCTTACTGTTTTCAAAGAGGGAAGAGATGAAAGACAGTAATGCTGGTAGTTGAACACCTATCACTAAGTTTTCTATTTTTAAAATGAAAAACCAAACAAACAAAACTGTGCAGTCAGCTATTTAGTAACTGAAAGGGCCTCAAATTTTTATTTTTGAAAATCAAAACTGAAGGGTCAACTAGGTTGACAACCAAATTGGACCTTCCTTTTCCCCAACACTTTTAGCTAGTTTTTAGACAAACTGCCAAGTGACAAATCCCACTGGTAACCATTTGAAAAGGTAATTGATATATATATAGAAACAGCAATTAACTTTAAACACCCTTGTCTGTTCTAGGGGCTCTAGAATTCATTTTAAGAACAGGGAGGTGAGACTTCTGACTGAAACAATCCCAATTTCTGGACATATTCACTTACAGAAAATTCATCTTCAGTGCCTGAAAATTTAGCTTTTGATTATTGCAAGGAAAAACCTAAAAAATAGTTTTATTTTGTTTGAAAAAGTTTCCTATGCAAAATGCTAAAAGAACAAGCCCTAAGTCCCAAGCACATGTATTTTGGCAAGCAAAACAATAGATTCTTTTTATATCATGTATCCAAAATGGACATATGACCACATAGCAAGGCTTATATAAAAATGAATAATTCCAATATAATGATTCTTTACCTGGATGTCATCCTCATTTAACTCTGAACCAAGAAGATCACATAATCTCTGTAATTATATATATATATGTATGTATATATATGTGCACATATATGTGCGAGATGTTTTATATAGTATATATAATATATATCTCATATATATACATATGTAATATAAAATATATTTTATGACTATGATGTGAGTAAAGTGGCTAATAATTATAGTGGACAGAGTAGTTTACATTCAGACTTCATTAATTAGGAGAATTATTCTTATTTCATTCTCTTCTTGCCTGTGTTTTTCTGTGCATGTGTGTGTTTGCATGAGTGGGTTTGGGGGAGGTATAGCAGTAGTCCCAACCTTTTTGGCACCAGGGACCATTTTCATGGAAGACAATTTTTCCTGCCACTTACCTCCTACTGTACAGCCCTCTGGTTCCTAAGTTTCATGGAAGACAATTTCTCCATGGATGGAGGGAGTAGAGGATGGGGGGGGGGGGTTGATGGAGTTCTGGGGCCCAGTCCCTAACAGGCCATGGACTGGTACTGTTCTACAGGCCGGGGATTGGGGACCACTGTGGTAAAGGACAGAGGAAGAAAGAGAGGGAGAGCAGGAAGGTAGGAGAGAAAGGAACAGAAGACCTGGCTATACTCCTGAATTACACTGAGTAAGTAATTTTATTTTCTTTACTTCATAATGTAATTACATTCTCTTAGTTTCCAAACTTATAAAGGAAGCTCATAATACATACTCTTCCTATTTTCTATTTTTTTATGATAATCTCATCCATCCATCCATCCATCCATCCATCCATCCATCCATCCATCCATCCATTCATCCTCTGACTGCTTTATGCCATGTACTTGTCTAGATATTAGGGCTGTCAAGCAGAAAGATAAAGTCCCTGCTCTCATGTAGCTTACATACTAGTGGTAGAGAGGCTAATTATAAATAAATAACCAAGTACATGGCATGTCAGCTGGTAATAAGAGGTACAAGAAAAAATAAAGCAGGATAAAGGGATAAGTGATAGGTGTGGGTGAGGCTATTTTATATAGGCTGTCAAGGATACCTGTCTCCTCTGAGGATTTTATTTGGATTAAACTGGGAAGCTACTACTGGTTATATGCCAAGGGCAGACATGTTTTTCTATTTTAAAATTCTGATTGTTGCTATAGGTGGAGACTACAGGGATGCAAGAGTGAAACTGGAGCAAACAGTTATTACGGAAGTCTTGGATTAGAGATAATAGTAGAGGAAGTCAGAAGTGGTTATAGTTTGGATGTGTGTGTGTGTGTGCTGTTAAATAAAAATTATGAGAAGCCATTGATTTAAGTTAAACTCTGGTACTAGATCCCAACAGACCAACCCCAAATGGAGTCATTTATGCTAATATTTCACATCACCAAACCTAGGATATTTATTTGCAAGATCTGACCTGAGAAATCAGGGGAGAGATGATAGCCACACCTTTAAACAGGCCAGTTTTCTGAAAAAACAGGAGATTCACAGCAACTTATCAAAAGTGCCCAGTTGACCTGAGCTACCATGATAAGGAAGTCCTCTCTACTTTAACCTGAAGTTACCTGATGTCAACCAATCAGCTTTTTGCATTATGCTGTTTCCTTGTTCCTGCTCAAGTTTCCTTAAAAAAACCAAGTGTTCTGCCATGCTGGGTGGAGCTCCTATTTTATAGATTGAATGTTGTCTGGTTCATGAATTGCTAATAAAATTCTTTAAAACTCAATTTGTGGAAATTTTGTTCTTTGCCTATATACACATACATGCATACATATACATGTATATAACAATATGTAATGTAAATTTTAATAGAGGTTTAATATATATGCAAAACAAATGATGAATTTTCATAAAGTAAACACACCAGTATAACCAACAGCCAGATCAAGAAACAGAACATTACCAGAACTTCAAAATCTACCTTCTCCCCACTTTTCAGCCACTCCCTGCCCCCCTGCCACAGGTAGTCAGTAATCCTGAATTCCAACACCATAGATTGGTGTACATACTTGAGAGCTGTAGATACCTGATACCTGTAGACACCATAGATAGCTGTTTTTGATCTATCTATCTATCTATCTATCTATCTATCTATCTATCTATCTATCTATCATCTATCTATCTATCGGACTACAGATGTGCGCCACTGTGCCTTGCTAACTTTTAAATTTTTTTGTAGAAATAGGGTCTCATTATGTTGTCCAAGCTGGTCTCAAACTCCTGGGCTCAAGCAATCCTCCCACCTTGGCTTCCCAAAGTGCTGGTATTACAGGCATGAGCCACTGCACCCAGCCTACATTGTGGTTTTAATTTGCATTCCATGATGACTAATATTTGGAAATATTGTTTATTTTAATATTCTTTTGCAATTGCTTGTTCAAGACTTTGCCCATTTTTCTTTTGGCCTGTCTGACTTTTTCTCATTGCTATGTAGGAGTTATTTATATATTGTGGATATGAATCTTATAGATGAATTGTAAAAATTTTCTTCTCCTGGCTGGGCATGGTGGCTCACACCTGTAATCCTAGCACTCTGGGAGGTTGAGACAGGAAGATCACCTGAACTCAGGAGTTTGAGACCAACGTGAGCAAGAGTGACCAGGAGTTCGAGACCAACGTGGGCAAGGGT